TTTTCAAATTTATATTGCAGCTTCGCAAAGCGCATCCACCAGATCGACCAGCTGGGAACTACCAGTTTATGAGTTGTTCAGGAAAAATGCTACTCGACCATGACCCACCAAACCAGCATACACAACAGCTAAAAAATAGCAGATTCAGTTAGAATTTTAGAGTCGCCTACTCGCTGCAGCACAACTGCCAGACCACACAGCATATCGACTAGGTCGGCCTGCTGGCAACAAACTATTAATTTTATCAAAATATGTGATAATATGCTTTAAAGAATTAAGGGTCCAAGTTTATTTTTAAGATCAATCCCCTCCTAATTTTTGTTGATGGTTAAAAGTTTCTGATTTTAGATTTTGTTTCCTAATTTTTATTGATGGTTAAAAGTTTCTGATTTTAGATGTTCTGATTTTAGATGTTCTGATTTTAGATGTTCTGATTTTAGTTTTTGTTCATACATTATCGATCGACAGACTATTCTGCACAGAAAGATTTAAAAAACAATACCATCAAATACACAAAACAACGATTAAAATTGCAAAGTAATGCACCCAAATTCATATTACAATTTTTAGGACTTCGTTTCAACAAAAACATTAATATGCAACCACAAAGAAATAAGTGAGGCTAAACCATTCAAATACATTTCTTGTAAAGGGGATAATGGATGGATTCAAGTATTCAACCACCAAGCTTATGATCCAAACAAAGGGGATAACCCAGTTCATGTAATAAAAATCATATCCAAAAACCACATTACAACAACCATTAATAATTGGAACTAAACCTAGGCCGTGGAAGCAGATAATGGAAGAAGATAATGGAAGAAGAAGAAACTTACCAAGATGGAGAAGACGGAACGAACGGCGGCGACGACTGAAGAAGACGGAAGGAACGGCGGCGGCGACGAAGACGGCAGAATGAAGAAGACGAAGAAATGAAGAAGAGTACTGAACGAACGAATCTGAGGGCAAATATCAGATTTGGTGATTTTTAATTTAATTATAAAAACAACCTACGAAAGCGCTTTTAAAAGCGCTTTCGTATGCCCCCATATGAGAGCGCTTCTGAGGTAAAAAGCGCTTTCGTATGCCCCCCATATAAGAGCGCTTTAGAAAGCGCTTTCGTAGGTCCCCCTTTCAGAGCGCTTTTCAAAAGCGCTTTTATAGGGCCACCTATAAGAGCGCTTTTCAAAAGCGCTTTCGTAGGTTAGATATTTCAAATACCTATGAAAGCGCTTTCTGAAAAGCGCTTTTGTAGGAAACCCTATAAAAGCGCTTTTTTAAGCGAATTTTTTTTAAAAGGCTACGAAAGCGCTTTCTCTTAAAAGCGCTTTCGTAGATGCGCTGCCAAAAACTGTTTTTTTTGTAGTGACTTTTCAGTATACAGTCAAAATTGACCAATTGACTGGGAAATTCAACTGTCAATCTTGTGTACTTGGGATCTTTTGAGCTTGATGAACATGTCAAGATAATTCCATGGGGTCCTTGAGTCCATATGTGAGCTTGGTTTGCCATTGGCTAGGTCAAACAGTCAAAAATTGCCTTTGTGCAGTCAAAACCCTAAAAATGACCATTTTGCCCTTTTGGTGATCTGATCAAATTTCTTGTGGAATTGTGATTCAAACTTGATCAAATGGTTCATATGAATTCAAAATGTTGATGTGGATCAAATTTCATGAGGTTTGACTGTCAATTGGCCACAGTTGACTTTTTCCCCAATACAGCTGATTTCTAGGTCAACTGTCCAATTGACTGGGTAAAACTTGGAATCAAGACCTGAAACTTGGTATGGGTAAACTTGGGAGTCCAATATGAAGCATGAAAGTCATCTTAGGCATTTTAGGTCAAAACATCTTTAGGCAAACACAAACCCTAATTTGAGTCCACAGTGCAAGGAGAAGTCTTGAGCAGAGGAAACCCTAATTGGATCTTGATCTTTAAAGGTCTTGTGATGAGAAAATGTTGAGGAAATGGGAGGGCAAATTTTGGGGTACAACAGTCTCCATCCCCGTCAGTTCTGAAAACTTTGAGCTTCCGACCACTTTGTCTTTCAACCATAGACTTAAACTTCGAAAATACCTCGATCACTTCACTTTTCTTATTGATAAGGTAAGTCTACAGTTTTCGACTGAAATCATCTATGAACGTGAAAAAGTACTTATTACCTCCATTCGAATCCATCTAAATTGGTCCACATACATAAGAATATATGACTTCAAGAATAGCCTTCAACTTGCTTCATGCATCCTTGCTGAAGCTATTCTTATGGTGCTTCGCCTGCACACATTCCTCACATACCTCGTTTGGAATGTCGATTTATGGCAATCCTGAAACTATATTTATTCTTTTCAAATCTCTGATGTCTTTGAAGTTGAGAGGACCTAGTCGATAATGTCATATCCATTCATCTCTACTAGCTGCAGTCGAAAGGCACTTGTGCTCCATCATATTTAGTTTGGTCTTAATGGTTCTATTCTGAGACATGGGAGCCTTCAAGATTAAACTTTCATTTACATCGACGACTCTCATCATCTTGTCTTCGACCAACACTTTGTAATATTTTCAACCAACTACATTATGCTGAGCAAGTTGCTCTTCATGCCTGTATGTACAACACATTGGAAATTATTCACCTCTTGCCATCTTTCCTCATAATCAAAACATCTCCAATATCTTCAACTACTAGAGTATTGATATTTATAAATTTTAGCATGTTCTTCATCGAGGGTTTTAGGTTGACAAACCAATCATTCCTTCTAGACATGTGTCATGAGCATCATGAATCCAAGTACCATTGGCTCTTGAATTTCTCTTCATCTCTTGTTGTAACCATCACCAACATCTCTTCTTCTTCATACTTTGCGAACTTTGCATCACTTTCTTGATTCTTTCTCTTTTTTGGACAATCACTAGAATAATGACCATACTTCTAACAATTGAAACACTGAATGTGACTCTTGTCATATTTTTGACCCCCACCTCTTCCTCTATTCACAACACCACCTCTTTGGTTGTCTTGTTATGGTCTTCTCTGATTCGACATAATTCCCTTATGCTGGTTTCCTCTACCATTTGAATTGTTATAGCCACCTCTACCTTTGTCGAACCACTTTCCTTTGACTTTACTTTCTTTTGCCGACTGCGCCTGCAAAGCCACATCACTCTTCGACTTGTTGGCATCCCTTTCACCCATTCTTTATTTGTGATATTCAAGTGTCCCTTGAAGCTCTTCCTTTGACAAAGATGAGATGTCCTTCGACTCTTCTATGGCAACTACCACATGGTCGAATTTCGGAGCCAAAGATATCAAGATCTTTGAAACAACGACTCTTGTTGTTAACGTCTCTTTACAAACCTTGATTTAATTCACTAGTTTCGTAACCCTAGTGAAGAAATCGTATATGCTCTCGACATCTTCCATCTGAAGCAGTTCATACGTTCTTTTGTGAGTTTGTAACTTCTCCTCTTTCATCTTTTCTTTACCTCCAAAAGATTTCTTAAGAATCTCCCAAGCTTCTTTTGCACATTCTACATCACTAACATTTTCAAAATTACATGGACTCAGACATTGATGAATTATAAAGAGAGATTTATAATTCTTCTTCTTCGATTCTTTATATTCCACTTTTTCTTCTTCTGAAGCGTCTTCTTCAAGCGGTTCTAATCCATGTTTCACAAGATCCTAAAGACCTTGATAGCAGAATATGACCTTCATTTGTTTGCACCAATTCTCACAATTATCACCTTTCATAATTGGAAGACTTGTTGAAAAATTTCCATTTGCATAATTCACCACCATTGTGATTTTCTTCTTCTTCTTCCCTTGATCGCTCAATCGGAGCTCTTGATACCAGATGTTGGGAATCCACCAAAAACTATGATGAATTTCTATCAATCTTGATGAACAAGATTGTTATCACCACACAATAACGATGAAAAGAAAAGAAAAGTTAAAGAAGAAAATAGATTAGGGTTTCCGCATAGTTTCTCTTTACCCACAAACTGTGGAAAATCTTTATTCACTTTGCAACTGCAAAATTCTGTGAATACAAGTTGTTTTGAGTTGTGTTATAAAATAGGGGTTACTCCCTCTATTTATAGTTTTATGTTAGCTTACTCCATAAGCCAAAGCCCAAAACACAAAAGCCCAACATACCTATTTTAGATCTAAATCAAATCTGTGTGTAGGAACCGACTTACAACACTTTGACAACTAACACAACTCGACACACTAATTTGAAACACCTTGTGTTCATGCAACATCCTATTTCGACACAAGAAATTACACTTTCAACAAAAATTTCTATCTCGTTTAACTAATATTAACTTATGTTAGGGAAACAGTAGGGTCCATGCAATAATCCACTATCTAACATTTACTAAGACATTGGCCAAACTCCCCAGAAAAAACCCTTCCCTCAAAAATAAATTACAGTACAAATTATATTATTTGGTAATTAACAAAATAACCATTCACTTTTTCATCTTTTCTGATTTCATTGGTCCAAATTAAAAAATTTGTTTCCCCCCAAAGACACTTCTCCCCCATTTTTTCTATCTCTCTCTCCGTTTTCTCTCGTTTCCCTTTTACCCCCTCCAACCTTAACATTGATGCCTCCTCCTTTCTCAACCCTAACACATCCGAACTCAACCTCACCATCTATAAATCGATCGCTCATTGTTCTCTCATCTTTGAATTCAATCGCTTGGAAGATCCTTCCTTCTGGGTATTTCTCTCAGCTCACTCCGTCGTCAAAGCATCCACCACCACAACGGATCTCAACAGGTTTGTCTTCTCAAACCTTACTTCTGCTAATATGTGTGTTCTCCTTCCATATTGCATTTCCATGGGTATTTTTCTTTTCATCTTTTATATTGTATCTTCTTGGATTTCCTCCATGATTGGAAAGTGATTGGTTTTACAGATCTCTAACGGTAACTTTGTTTGACCAAACTGAGTTACTTAGAAGTTTGATGACTTCGTGTGAAACTGGAGTAACTGTATGCCTTCTTGCATTGGTATTGCCATATCTCTTCTCAAAGCCTATGTTTTACACTCTGTCTAATTGGTTTAAACATGTGTTGATGAATTCTAGAGCTATGCATACTTCCTTTATTAACTTCAGCCCTATAAAAGAAACCCTTTTATGTCGGCTATCATGCTGTAAAGATGGTCAACAATATTCTGATGTCCTCTGGGACTGGAACGGTGGTGATAACCAGCAGTGGAAGATCTTGCCCTAATGTAAGTATTCTACCCATAATGTAAATCATATTCTTGAAAAATCTCTATAATTTTTTGTGCTATCCTCATTTGATTCATGTTCACAAGGGTTGTGAAGTGAAGAATCTAAATATTTTGCCTAACAACTTCTTATAGACATGATTGCCTGCCTATTCTTATTATAGATTTTTAATTTCATCAAAGAATTGTCAAATTCTATAATCGGATCCACTGAGCATTTTCGTCAATGATAGGCCCATAGGAGCTGTGATATTAATGCAACTGAATAATCTCAAAATGTGCTTGCGCAACTCTGATAGTGCTACTGATACTTCGGAAGTTGCTAAGGTGCATGCTTCTTGCTTCACTATTTTATTGTCTTATCGATTTGATATTTTTAACACTTTGATAAATAAATATTAATGAGTATTCTGCACTGCCATCATGAAGGCATATGGTGGAGGAGGTTCTGCAAGTTCAAGCTCCTTCATTATAAGGATGGATGAGTATAACCAATGGATTTCAGCAAATCTGTTATGATGGTTTCTGGGTTTGAATATAATCTTGGCTTGATGTCTTGCAAATGGGGAATGCAAAGTGTTTTACAGTCATCACATCCACAATAACTTCCTACTTATGTGCCTATCTCATTGCCAATTTGTCATTTTATCTTAATGAGAAGGAGAAACTTATTTATATAGTAATGTTGTCTAATAGTTCTTTATAAATAATAGATTTTATTAAACATGTAAATCATATTGCTTCTTGAATGTATGGACTTGAAGACTCCTATAATTAAATAATTATTTAGTAATTAAATAATTCATTTTAAATTTATTTATATTTATATACTTTTATACCATATAATTGCATGATAATATAATATATTTTTTAATTTAATAAAATTATAAATGTATTTATCTCACGGGTCACTAACAAGACAATATTAATATATAATAAATAAATTTGATTACTTTATAAATATTAATTTAAGCGATAAAATTTTTATTTCAAAATTCATTTTCTCAATTTCATAATTTTTTTATGATTCTTTAATACAATTAAATTTATATGATTATCATTTATTTTATAATTAAGAAAATCATTTTAAATTTTAAATTTATATTTAAATATATTTTATATCGAATAAAATAGTTTATTTATCTCATGAATTATTAGTATAATGATAATTTCATTTTAAACAATAATTACTTTTAATTTAGAGATTTTTTATTTTTAACATTAAAATTTTATTATTTTTCTCCAACTAAAATAGTTATTTAATATAATTGAATTTTTATAATTATTATTTATCTATATTTAACTTATTCATCTTCAATTTTATAATTCTTATTTTGATTTTTATTTCTTCTTTTGATATTATCCGAGTATTATGATATTAACACTCATTCATGTGTTATCACATTAACACATATTTTATTATTATTTTTTATTAAACAAATTACTCATAATTTTTTTTATTCTTATTAATCATATCGTTCAAAAATATTAAATCATAAAAAAATCACTCATGCATAAACACGAGTCTCTTAGTTTATTGTCTATGAAAATATAAAATAAGACTCCTTAATTTATGTCGGTATAAATTTAAAATAATTGATAATTACGTGTATGATTAAAAATGAAACGTGACCTTAAAATTCGAAAATGACGGGTTATCAAACACGCATTTTTTATGCAAAATTTATAAGTTAAAAGGAAGAGGGGCTTTTATTGTACTAGAGGAAAAAGTTTTGATAACTGTTACTCTGTTAGTACAAATAATATTTCTAGAAGAAAGAATTATTAAGAACTAAAACCATCTTACCAATATCTGATTTGATCTTAGTTAATTCTTTGACTTTAATGAAATCAATTCATTTGATTTGATCTGATCCTCTTTTATTTTATTTTATTTCCTCATTTACTTATTTAATTAAGGCAACACTTCTATCTATGTATGTATCTCTATTACCATTCATAATAATTCTTTTTGTTCACACTTACCTAGCAGTCCTTAAAATCACAACTTAGTTAGATTTGTCAAATTTAATCCGATCTATTAAAAATTTTAAAATTTCAGTCTGATATATAATCTACCAAAGATTTATTTGTATACCCAAGTTTGACATTTTTGCAAAATCTAGTTGATCTATTAACTAATTTAAAAATCTATTTATTTAAAAATATGTAAATAAATAATATAATTAATATTTAAATAAACTAATAAATTAAAAGAGCAATGAAATTAAATATTTATTTGTATTAACTTACTTAAACTTATCTAATAACATTATTTTATGAGAGTATTTATTTTTTAAAATTTATGAAAATAATTTATAACATTATTTATTAAAAATAATTCAATTTATTTATAACTAAGCTTTATTTTGATATTTAAATTTAAAATATAAATTATAATTTAATAAATATATTTATATTTATTTAAACATGATGGCCTTATAAACTTAACAGATTTTTTATGTTTTGTGGTCTAATATTTCTAATTAAATAGGTTTTTTGAAAAGTCTGAACACTTTCAATTAAAAAAAAAATAGTATGGTTCCGTTTCATAAAAAGTGTTTTAATATTGATATTTTTTCTTTGTCTTACAATAATTATTTTTTTACAATTTTATTCAATATTTATTATCAGTTTTTAATTACGATATCTCTATTTATTATTTTTTACTTTATTTAATTATTCTATTGACTTCAATTAATAAATATATTTTAATAAATAACATTAATTTTTATCATTAAAATTAACATTTTTAATTATTTATTTAAAAACTATGCATTGCTTAAATAAGACAATTATTATAAGATAGGAGAAGTATGTATTATTTTCACCTCTATGCTTAGCCTAGGTTTTTTGCAATTATCTATAGATCACACATTCACACTCGATATTCCATGTATTGACGGTCATTTGATTAAGTTAGATATTTATATTAGTAATTTTTTATTTTAAAACAAATAAAAATAAAAGTATATTAAAATACAAATGGTTTGATTTTGATCTTACGAATGTGAACACGCCAAATGTATAAATGTAGCATATTGGTGACTAGGGGTGTTCGCGATGCGGTTTGGGCGGTTTTGAAGTAAAAAATCATTCGAACCGCAAGAGAAAAAAACATGCGGTTCGATTTAGTTCGGTTGACTTTTAAAAATAAATCCGAACCAAACCAAACCAAACTAATGCGGTTTGGATTGGTTCGGTTGTTTACAAAAATAATTATTATGTCATACATACAAATATATAGGAAAATATAATTTTATATTTAATTGTTCATACATTATCATAAAAAATTTATAATTGTCAAAATAAATTTATAATTTGATACATAAAATTGCGTATTATAATTTTATCTAAATCTAAATAATGATATCAAAAAGATTGCATTCTTAAATAAATATTATACAAAGAATATGATAAAATATATTCTGTGAAAATAGTATTTATAAATGAATAATATTTTATTTTTTATGATTTATAAATTAAAATGAATATAATACAAAGTATGATAAAATATACACATAATACATGTTGATTTCTCTAAAGAATTATAGAAATATATATTGGTTAGTAAGATTTTATAACATAATGCGGTTTTGTTTGGTTTGGTTCGGTTTGTAAAATACAAACCGCAAACCGAACCGAACCATGCGATTCCACGAGAAAATGACCAAAACACATCCGAACTAAATGCGATTTTTTGCGATTTCGGTTTGATTTAGTTCGGTTTTGCGATTTTCTATTGGGCCGGTTTGATTTTGAACACCCATATATATATATATATATATATATATATATATATATATATATATATATATATATATATATATATATATATATATATATATATATATATATATATATATATATTGAATTAATTCTTAACATATAAAAATCGATTATCATTAAATGAGTTGATTTTATTTTTTTAGATATTAGTCAATGACATTTTTTGTGCGTAACTGGAGAGATTAATCTCTCAAATTTTGTAGGATCGAAAGACGGGTCAACTCTCCCTCAAAATATTTAAAACGTTCCTAGAGCTTCTGATTAATAATTGCTTAAACTTCTTTACTACTACTAAAGTCGTTAACTTCCTAACAGCTAAAACTATTCAACTATTTAAGTTAGTAAGAAATATGAATAAAATGGTAGGACATTATTCATGTTACACTATCATGATTACCACCACGCTCTCTTGAGGTCACGAATTTAAAATTATATATAAAATTATAAAATTAAGTGAATAATTATTCAAACAAACAATTATTGTGATGCTTTGGTCCTTAGTTGATGGTCTTTTCTACTTAATGATATGTTTTTAGACCCGCTAAAAGATCGGAAATTTAATGTCTTCTTCTACTAATTATATATGTTTGTGGATAACATTAAAACAATAATATTCATACAAATTCCAGTGAATTATTGTTGCAGGAAGTAGTTAAATTATTAATTTGCTAATTATCAGAAATGCATGTGATATGTTGCTACCTTATTTTAATTTAGATAAAATATTAGTAGTAATAAAATGAATTGTTTTATCTTAGGCAGCTAGCTACAACTTACAAGTAGTAATAAATAATGAAGAAAGCGTTAAAGAAAGAGTCGTAGTCGAGATTGGGGTACCTTGCACCTGTTACATGTAAATGTAAAATGAATGTGAATGAATTATGAACCATTGATAAAAATTGTCACATTGCATCTGATTTTATTGTCATGTTGTTAACATTTTTATTGTTTTATTTGACTTTTGATTTTATTAGTTTTGTTTAGAATATGTTGGAGAATTTTTAATTAGAATATGTTGCACTTGCATATGGGGTATATGTTTTGGAAATATTTAGACTTTGAGTTAGCTTGCAAATTTAATAGTAAAACTTAAGGTTTATTATGGATAGTAATTGGTATACTATAGGAAAAAAATTGATATTAATGAAAAAACAATTACACAAATTAAAATATATATATTTTTAATAGAAAAAACACAATTATATTTTTATATTAAAAATAGAAAACCACGGATTTTTTTGTTATGATAAACCAAAAGGCGTTAGTGACGATTGAAGAATTCGGAAGTTTGTATAAATAATGCAACGGCTATTTGTAATGATTTATTTCTTGATTATTTTTAAGTGTTAAATGATTGAGATGTTGTAATGCGCCACTAAAATGCTAATGATGGTATCAAAGATCACATCAATAATCATGGCCATTTTTCCATTATGAATATCTTCATTAATCATGTATCTTACAATTATTTTTGTTTTTCTATAAAAAAATATAAATAATTTGTTATTATATCCATAACTTAAAAGGTAATTTGGAATAAATGTGGACATATGTGAATAGGTAAATTCATTTCTATGATGATAGACTTTCTCGAACCATTAAAATCTTTTACTATAATGTCACTAGGGCGTATAGGAGTTTCTTGGTACTTAAGCTTTATAAGAGTACTTCTCGGTATGACATTCAAAGCAGATACATTGTTAATCAGTATATTGGATAAAGAGTCATTC